AGGAATCATTTTTCAGGACCTTTCCAGGCCATTTTCGTGACAATACAGCACAGCACTTGCTCACAAACGGTCACAGAATTTACCAGTAGGCCGAGTATTGACACGTTTCACGCAGTTGATCCTACCAACTGTTCAAACAAAATACACACCCAGGTTTATGTCGGTGAATATTCAACCAAAGTGGCTAATGCTTATCAAATTGTAGTGCGTTTCCGTGTGAGTGTCTGCGTGTGTGTGCGGCTCACCCCATGTTGGCCAGGAAGGAGCTGGTTGGTCCAGGCGGTGAACGTGGCCGGTCTGAGTCCTCAAACATGGGCGGAGGGATGGCGGCCTTTGAGCCTCTGGCAGGGCGACCTTCATCCTCGTAGGCGAACGGGGATGAGCCTAAAAACATGGAAAAACACAACCAGTATTAACATGCTCCGAGGAAGAGCACAACCAGATTTGATTTTTCAGCCTACTTTATTCTGTTACATTTCTAATGATGAACTAATGATGGTCCTGAGGCAGAAAACAACACCCTGGTTACTAAAGACTGGCTTTGTTTTTCCCTCCTTGCAATTTGACATTCCAAAACTTACAGACACTACAAACCAATAATGTAGACGATGCTGCCCTCTGCTGTAGACACACTGCCGTCACTGCTGCTAATTTAACAGAATACTAACTTCAACTTTTAAGTTTTATTCATTACTCCATCACTATATACACGTTTCCTTTCCCTCTTCTTTTGACTCTTGAGCTGCTCTAACGAGTGAATTTCCCCAGTGTGGGATCAATAATGTCTGTCTGATCTGATCTTAAACCTCTCACTGTGTATTCTGTTCTGTTCAGTTAATGTTTAAACCCTGGTGCGTCAGGAGACTTACCATCTCTGTCCACAAGTGAAGAAGGAGGGGCGATAGCTGCTCCGCCCAAAGCTTGGAGAGAGAGACAGATGATGCATCATGTTCAAGGATTAATGCATTAACGTAAACAGACATTGTGATTCTGTGTTCCCACATCATCATGTAATTCACGCAACATGTTTGATGTATTTTTGTTTCTCCCTCAAGTCCCCGAATGGTACATCATACTCTTGCAGTTGACCTACCTCTCAATCTGAGGGCAAATAAAAAGCACGTAAAGCCCACAAAATGTCCCGGGAATGGAGAACGTTTCTACTCACTTCGTTTCCTCCGCTCTTTCTCATAGTCCTCTTCCTCATCTGATTCTCCCTCTGCTGTGGGGAAACGGGAGAAACCACTTGGAGCTCCACCATCATGCCGGTCTTTCCTCTTCCTGCAACACACCAAAATCAGGATTTAAACAAGAGCCCCGTGCTTCTGTAAAAATCCAGTAAGGTACAGTCGCTCATGTTTAACCCCTGCGGCTGTTCTTATTGGTTCGTGAGCTGAATAATCGAGCATGACAGCACTTCTCTCTCTCCTCGATCTCCTTCTGCCGCTCCTGCTCCCTCTGCCGCTGTCGTTCTTCTCTGTGGCGCTTCACCACCTTCTCGTAGTCGTTGGGGAACATGGGATCGTACTCGTCTGCCAATGGGATCAGCACATCGCCAGAGGAGAAACCACTGGGCACGGCATCCTGAAAGTCCAAAACACGAGAGTGAGATGGAAAATCAAGCAGCTCCAAACATTTTAAGACATGGACTTAAAAACGGATGACCAGGTTCCTTGGGTTAGGCAGACCTTGAGTCCAGCGGCAGCATGTGGAGGAGTGTCTGTGATCTGTCTCTCGTCACTGGAGCCTCCTCTCTTTAGATCAATGACCGGCGCCAAGACAGTGGTCTGCTTCATCCGCTGGGTCTACACACGCGACAGTAAAATCATTGCACATCATGTATACACTGGGTTTATAGTGTGTCCTTGCAGTCTTATTTCATTTACATGTTAGCATGTAAGCATGGTTACAGGTCACTCTATGTGTCTTCCTCTCTTTGCACAGCAGTATCAGTGAACTGGATTCTCTGCCTACCTTGGCCTGGGTCAGAGCCGCCTTCTTCACCTTCAGCTGGGACTGCAACAACTTGAAGTTCTTGGACCAGCCTTCGGTCTTGGTGTCACTGGCACCCACACCGAGGTCATCATACAGCGACATAGTTGCCTGTCAGTACCTCCGTCTCCTGCGGACACCAACACAAGTTTCATTTGATATAACGTAAGCTGTGTTCAGGAGCTGCACTGCTTCGTGTAGATATTGAGGCTGTAACTTAGCAGCACCCTTACTGAAACGCTGGCTCACTTTTTTCGTGACTGTGTGGTTTATTCAATCAATTATTATCTGAGAAAGAAATATCTGTCACGTAGTTAGCCTTGTTTAGGTACGTACGTTAGCAGAACCTGTCAATAATATAACAACTTATTTAGCTAACGTTAGCTACTGCTAACACAGCTCCTTATCTGTCTGATACACGAATTATGTTTTAAAAAATACACATATTAAGTTAGCTTGTTTTCAACCTACCGGTTTCATAAATACCTGGGCATTAACTAAATGTAAGGGCCAAACGTCCTACTATAAAAAGGTTGAGCAGCACATTGATAAAGCGTTAGCTCCTCGCTGTGTGAAGCGGAAGTAAAGGCAGCAACAACACGACAACGACATTTGACTCCACCTAGCGGCGGGATGACTTTATCCGCCACCACTGTACTAACGTTACACTTTAATGTACTCAAATT